TAATTAATAGTTTAAAGATTTTAAAACAGGTGAAGTTAATGGGACAGTCTAGGTCTGCACCCTGGCTGCTAGATTATGGCCTAGAAATTCCCCATATGTGCTATCAGGAAGTTAAACCCAAAATAAGGTAGCACCTGATCTTCTGATTAAGTCTTATTAAAACAAAACCAGAGTGTAAAATGGGCACAAACTGGCCTGATGAATCTAAGTCAAAGGAAACTGTTGATGTCACATCAAGCCCCAGAGATTGATCTTTGAAATGGGTAGCGGGAGGACAGAAAATTCTTAGCTTGCCCCACCACCATGGGAAGAGTGCTCGCACAGATGTCCATCATGGGGGCTGGGGTACAGCTGCATGTTGCAGTCAGGCCAGCCAACTCAGGAATTTGTGCAGTGAGCTGCTTGCCTGCCATGGTGCTGAGCGACTTAGCTCCCGATTTATGGAAACATTCATTCCGCAAACTTTCTATGCCCCGAACATGCCACTCCATCCACTGCCCCAATGGTTCCACATACCCTCCATTCCAAGCTATGATCTTCCACTCACCTCCATGGCCCTTCATACTTTCCATGCCAAGCTATGCCACTCCACCCATTGCTGCAGTTCCTCAAAACCAGAGGCCAAGTATGTCCTCCATCTCTTCATGTCTACATCATATCCTCCATTGATCGAAACCTTACTTTGAACCAAACTTGGCTGAGAGTTCTGACATTCATGGGGGAGTTGAAATAGTTGAACTCAGAAGAAAACATAGCTTGATAGATGAGCTCTTTGTTATTCATTCACATGATGTGGGTGTTGCTGGCGTGTAGAGAACTCAAACAGGTTGCAGAAGGCTATAGATAAGTAGGGAATTGGATAAGAACGTAACAGGTAGAATATAACATGAAGTGTGAAGTTATCAACTTCCATAATTAAAATTTTAAAAATGTTATTTGAATCATGAGTGATTGAGATATGTAGATAAACAGAAATACGAGTGATACATTAGCTTTATAAACAGCATTGCTTATAACAGTAAAGAAATCTTACTATAACTGCACAGCGCATTGGTAATTCCACTGTTATAAAGACAATTCGTATTTATTAACTTTTGTGGATCTGAGTTTGAAGGAAGGTGGAGGTGCCAGACTGCTTTCTCAATGAAAAGATACATTGGACTTCTTTCTTTACAAACAAAAGGCATTTGTTTGGAAACCACGTTGATCTGGGTTGCTTGAATACATTAGACTGGTTCCTGGATTGAGGTAATTGTCCTTTATGAGAGATTAAATAAACTGGCACCATAATCCTTGGAATTTAGAAGAATGAGAAGTGATCTGAATGAAATAGGTGAATTTCTTGAGGTCTTCACAGGGTAAATGTTGAAAAAATGTTTCCCCTACCTTGGGAATATAGACGGCTCAAAAGAAGTGCTTGCTCATTGACAACTGAGAAGAAATTTCTTCAAAGAGTTGGTAACCATTGAAATCCTTTGCTCCAAAGAGCTGTAGTTGCTTAATGGTGGATATGTTCAAGACAGATAGGTTCTTGAGCACAAATGGAATTAGAGGAAAGGGGGATCATGTGGGAAGGCAGTATTGGGTGGAAGATCAAACAGGATCTTCCAGAATTGCACACGACTTTAAATGGCCAAAAGGCCTATTCTAGCTCCTATCTTTTCTGTTAAGCAATGAAATCTGCCTGGTCTGATGTGTGTAAATGAACCTATTGTTCAAAGGTGAGCAGGGAGTTTGCACTGTATGCTTGCTAACATAACAACCAACTCACCACAATAAACAAGAACTGATTGTTGATTTCTCCGCCATTTCTGGGAACATCCTACGTGAAGAACTACACTTTATGACCATCAACAGCAAAATAATATCTGTACATGAAATGGTTCAGGGCACCTGAAAGAAGCAATAAGACACTACATAACAACATCCAAATTTTTGTTCAGCTAAAATTGAAATGACGCCACTTCCAAAAGGCTGTCTTGTCGTGACAGTCAAGATTATAAACTAAAAGCCTGGTAGAGGGCTCTAACACCGTAGAAATCTCCAAGCTGAAGAACACTACTAACTGATTTAAACTGGTACTTAACTATCAAAAAGGGATAATAGTGATTTCCGATCAGATAGTTCTATATAGCACTGGAACGGTTTCACCCACATTTGGAATAGCTTGTATTTCACTAGGGTAAAAACTACAGGTATATAAAATTGACTGCTCCAGCAAAATCTTGAATTAACTTGAGAGTAACCTGAGTGAAATTTGAGAAAAGTAAATAATGAGATACATTGGAAGTTAGACAATTAAAGGACAATTAAGCTTATCTTTGTTGGAAGTGGCAAACTGTTTCAGACAGGATGGGAGAAATGGGGCTGCCACAAGCATATAAAACTGGGATCAACAGATTGGAATCTCATGCGCAAGACAAAGTTTCAACTTGCCAGGTTACAGAAACGCTGAAAATTCAGGATGGATCTTGAGCAAATTTGACTAATTTACTACTGGGAACACTACATGGATTGGACTCAAGAACTGGAGGCATCTGAATGATCAATGATTCATTCAAATATTTTATCAAGACAGAGGGTATGCATTAATTCCAAAAAAAATGCCATGTTTTCAGAATACAATTTTATGCTTCGCACAAACTACAGAAAACTTACAGCATAAATGCACTAGTTGGTTCATTAAGTCTACTCTGGAATCTAAGGTTTTGGAGTAGATCTGTAGCTCGGGTTGTGGGTGTTGAGGTTGGTTGGCTTGCTGAGCTGGTTGTTGTTTTGCAGACATTTTGTTACCATGCTTGGTAACATCTTCAATGGCCAAACATACGAGCAAATCAACGGGACACCCATGGGATCGCCTATCTCCGGACTCATAGCAGAAGCAGTGATGCAAAGACTGGAAAGGACCGCCCTTCTGCAAATCTAACCTAAACTGTGGATACGCTACGTAGACGACATCTTTGTCATCATTAAATGGAGACACACAAACTTATAAACAACACCCTCATCAGAATAAGATTCACTGGAGAGGAGGAGAAGAACAAACAACTCCCATTCCTGGACTTCATGGTAGAGAGCAAGACAATTGGGAACTGCAAATGAAAGTACACCGAAAAGCCACACACACAGACCAGGTACTGAACTTCAATAGTAACCATCCCAGCACACACAAACGAAGCTGCGTGCGACCATTATTTAAAAAGACAACAACACACTGCAGCAACACGGAACTACGCCAAGAGGAGGAGGAATATCTCTTCCAAGTGTTTAAGGATAATGGATATCCAAAGAACTGGGTCAGAAGATGCCTACAAGAACAGCATCAGAAAGATTCTACACGCCCCGACACACTCATCACACTACCCTACATCAGGAACACATCGGAACTCACCACAAGACTCCTACGACCGCTGGGCATCAGAGTGGCACACAAGCCCACATCAACCCTACAACAACTGCTCACCCGAACTAAAGACCCACTCCCCACCATGGACAGGACCAATGTCATCTACAAAATCCCCTGCAGAGGCTGTGAGAAACACTACATCGGACAAACAGGAAGGAAACTAACAACAAGTGTACGTGAACACCAACTGGCTGCAAAAAGACACAACCAATACTCACTCATCTCAATCCACATGGATAAGGAGAACCACGACTTTGACTGGGACAACACCAAGATCCTGGGACAGGCTAGGCAGAAACAAGCACGAGAATTCCTGGAAGCATGGCACTCCACGAAGCATGCTATTAATAAACACATTGAACTCGACCCCATATACATTCCACTACGAAGGAAAACTGGAAGTGAGGCAATCCATCTCAATGGACTCCAGAGTTTAAAAACCAGGCGGGAAAACACACCGACGCTTCATTGGAGGCTGCACTGAGGATGTTACCAAGCATGGTAACAAAAAGTCTGCAAAACAACAAACCAGCTCGGCGAGCCAACCAACCTCAACTACCCTGGAATAATATGAATATTATTGAAACAATGTATGTTTAGATAATGGGAGGAGTGACTCCTTTTCGTGTAAAAGTATTCTGATTCTAAAGGTTGCTATTCAGTGAGAGGTACTATGTCAGGTTTATGTGCAAAGATTTATCACAGCACCATCTATCGTTCCATCCTATATTCCAGGTAATCAGGAATGCTCTTCAGAAACTATACAGGGATCCATTGAGATAATTTTTAAAAATTTTCTTCAACTAAGAGTGGAAGTGACTAACCTTTTTCAAAATATACAGATGCTGGACACCAAACTTGAGCACATGCAAATGTGGGCAACTCTACAAAATCAGGGATGGTAGGAACTGCCGATGCTGGAGTCTGAGATAACAAGGTGTAGAGCTGGATGAACACAGCAGGCCAGGCAGCATCAGAGGAACAGGAAAGCTGAGGTTTCGGGTCTGGATCCTTCTTGAAAGCTGACGTTTTGGGTCTGGACCCTTCTTCAGAAAAGAAGAAAGGTCCAGTCCCAAATCGTCAACTTTCCTGCTCCTCTGATGCTGCCTGGCTTGCTGTGTTCATCCAGCTCTACACTTTGTTATCTACAGAATCAGGGTTGCATTTATTCCAGATTTTATTTACTGAACTAGGGAGATGACCAGAATGGTCAATTTTAGAGTTTGGTAAATTGCATTAAGAGACCACAAGAAATAACAGGAACTAGACTTGGTTATCTTCTAAAAAGAGAGATTCTGCATCCTGCCCTTCTTTGCAAAATATGTTACTTTACATCAATGGTAATGAAGTAATCTGGAGTAAACGTGTTAAGCGTAACAAAAGATTGATAATAGCTTTTTTGAAGTAATAGATTGTGAACCTAAACAAAGTACGTGAGGAGTCCAGAGCGTATAACTGATTGCCATGTATCAATCAGCATATACTTCTAAGAACACAGTGATAATGGTGAACTATTTAATAAAGCAAAGTACATTCATTGAACATTATAAGTCAACAGTGCATTGTCGGAAAAGCAGTATACATAAACAATTTATCAACGTGATTTTAATTTATTTCTCCTATTTTCAGATTCACCCACGATATATTATCATTCTTGACAATATTAGCTAATATATTACGATATGTACATGAAATATGACTACTTCAGTCAGAATGAATAGCATTACTGTTCGACATTAGGCAGTTTATGTAAAATCCATGACTTCAGCTGTTCTAACTCTGATTTGCAAAGTTCATGATAGAGATTAGGAAAAGTCTTAAACGTGGCTTTCACTCCTAGTGACTGTAAATGCAAACAACTCTCTTTACCCCACTCATATAAAACTAGTTGGTCATTCTTTCCATGACATTGGAACAATTCAGGCATTGAGGTTTTAGAATTCTGGATCGCCTGGAGAGAAAACATAGATTTATAGACATAGATTTGGTGCATACTGTTTGCAATTTATTTCTACTTATTTATATATTGAACAAAATTGGAAAAAAAACAAAGCACAATGTTTTATTTTTCAAATTATCACTCTATAACATTGATACCTAGATGTAAAGAAACATTTGAAAACTTGTGAACAGGTATAAATGATTACCCATTAACACTGCTGAACTACTTTAAAAAAGTAGTAGACACTTAAAATTTGAAGGAGTGTTAAGGTCGAATCTACTGGCCTATTCATTAAAACCAAACATTCACATATTGAATTTAATATCAAACAGAGCTAGCCTGTGGCTCTAAGCAAACATGGAAATAAAATGGTTACAGATTAATCCATTTTGAACTTCTTAATATATTTAAAAAAGCAAGTTATAAAGAAAGTGGGTTATTGAAAAAATGAAAGAAATGTTTAAATTTAAATTTAAAGGTCAATATTAAAAAAATTACAGTTATAATGTATCACTGGTTTGAAATTATGCCATGTGATTTTGTGAATACGTCCATATAAAATATCTTTCCTATTTTAACAATGGTATTAAATTCATGGATTAATATCTTAGAACTTAAAATTTCTCAGGAATAGTTGATGTATCATTGACAACATTTCAACATATCCAAGTTTAAGGATATTATCCAGTGACCCCTGATTGAAATCCAAATTAAGCTAGATACTACTTAAATAAAATGCTTATTTGATAGCTTTCTCAAATGAGATGATGGTGAGTTTAAGCCCCACTTCAGAACTTTGTCTAATTTAGACAGACACTTCAGTATATTAAGGAACTGCTGCATTGTTAAAATTTCAAATAAGACTCTAAACTGTGCTTTCATCTGCCTGTTAAGCTGCATATGAAAGATCCCACTGCACTTTTATCAAACAGCACAATTCTGCTAGTGCAGTCAACATTGTTTCCTCAACCAATAATATCATCATATTGTTCATATTCACCGCTAAATTTGAAGTATAGAAGAACAGTTACACCTCAAAAGACACTCATTGGCAATGCAGTTATTGGGATGTGCTGAGGTCACAAATGGTGTAATGTAAATACAAATTCCATCCTTCTGCTTACCTGGTAAACAATAGAATCCTTATTCAAGAAACTGGACAAAGCAAACGTTCCTGCTACTTGTTGATGAAATCTGTAGGCTAAGTGCATAGCCATTGTCCCTCCCATTGAAAATCCCCCTGCAAAGTCAAATACAGATCCAAATCAAAAGTTTAATAGAGTACATTACAAATTGAACAGAGACTGATGTGGTCAAACTAGCTTTGAGAGTTTTATTATACAGAAACAGAAGCTTGTCTCATTAGTGACATGGACAATTTAATTATTTTAATAATTGGAACTCAAAATATTCTCCTCATTCCCCCCTAGCCCCCTCCCCAGCTACCCCCTCAAGTTTTTAATCAAATATTTTACACCTATAGCCTCTGGTTATGGACTCATTCACCAGAGGAAGTAGTTTTACTTTATTAAAACCTCTTCAATTATCAAAGTCCCTTGTTCATGGTAACATCCAAATAAATCGCTTCTGCAACCTTTGAGGCTTTATATATTTTAGTTTAGTGTCCCAAGGTTGTGCACTATTCCAGCTGAGGCCTAACCAGTGGTTTTGAAAGTTTGATGAACATATTCTATGACTATCCATAAATCTAAGTAACCCATTATGTTTTGAATCAACATATTAACGTTTAAGGAGTTATGGATATGGATCCAAAAACTCGCTCTGATTATCTGTACATTCCAAAATTGTGCCTTAATTTGTAATGTACCATCGTTTAATATTCTATATTAATCCACCCCTTTGAGCTCCACCTTACATGCTTCTGTCAAATTCACAACCTTACCTGTGCCATTCTGAAGGCTGTAACCATCCTTAGTGCTATCCACTACATTGCGAAGTTTCATATCATCTGTAAATTTTATAAAACTACTAAAGGTCCAGATGATTTATCAAAACTGAAAATTAATATATACAAAACTGACTCTTGGGAACCCTAGTACGAACCACAGCCTAGTCTGGACATCACCCATCCAGTAACACTCTCTGCTTCCTGTCATTCAGCTAACTTTGTGTCAAGTTTCCACTTTCCCTTTAATTTCAAGCTTTCCACCTCCTTAACAGGCCTCCTGCATTGCACTTGCTTGAATGTCTTCCAGAAATCCATGTGGACAACATATAATACACTAACTTGGTCATCATTCTGTTAAACTGTCAACAAATTAATTCAACTTAGGCAATCACAATTTACCTTTAACAAGAACATTGGTGAGGCCACTTTTAGAATAGTGTATACAATTCTGGTCATCCTTCTCTAAAAAGGATGTTGTTAAACTTGAGATGTTGCAGAAAAGGTTTACAAGGATGTTGCCGGGACGACAGGGTTTGAGCTAAAGGAAGAGACTGAATAGGCTGGGCCTTTTTTTCCTTGGAGTGTCGGAGGCTGAGGAGTGATCTTAAAGACGTTTATACCATCATGACGACAGTGTGAATAGCCAAGGCGTTTTTCCTAGGGTGGGAGAGTCAAAACTAAAGGGCATAGGTTTACGGTGAGAGGGAAAAGATTTAAAAAGGATCTGAGGGGTAACATGTTCACACAGAGTGGCGCGTGAATGGAATGAGCTGCCAGAGGAAGTAGTGGAGTTCTGCACAACTACAACATTTAAAAGGCATCTGGATGAGTTTATAAAAAGGAAGGGTTTAGAGGGATATGGACCAAATGCTGGCAAATGGGACTAAATCAGATTGGGATGTCTGGTTGGCATGAACATGTTGGATTGAAGGGTCTGTTTCCGTGCTGTATGACTGTAATTCCATGCTGGCTCATCTTGATTAGCTTATGTCTCTTTAAATGAAAATTTATTTTTGCCTGAAAATACTTATCAATAATTCTCCTATTAATGATAGGTTGATTAGCCAGTAGTTTGCTGGCTTATCCATAGTCTTTTTCTTGAATAGAAGTATAACATAAGCAACTCTAACCCTTTAACTGAAGAATTTTTTAAAAAATTGAACCCAATAACTCTGCTTTTTCCACCTTTGCCTCTTTTAGTAATCTAGGATACATTCCATTGACTTGGTAACTTGCAATCCAGTTCAGTTAATCCTTTTAGCACATTTATTCCACCTCTTACTACTTTGTCCATAACTTCCTCCACACTTTGGTGTAATCTTCACATCATCTGGATTCTTTTGAGGAGATAGATGTACAGTACTCCTTGCATACTTTTACCATATCCTCCACTTTGGGCATGTAACGAAAGGAAATAGCAGAGACACATGGAGGATCATTTGGAAGAGGGATATCAAGCGTAAAAAGATTTATTATAAGAACAGATGCGCTAGCTTTCTAAAATTATTATCCACTCATCCTTACAGCCCTACCAAGGTTAAGCTGCTTTTGTTATCAGGAGATACTACAGAAAACTGAAGCTCTTTTCACAGTTTAAGAGAAGAGCTAAGAGTTATCCAATATTATGATGATGTTTGAGAAGGTAAAGAGCAAAAAATATCTCAGCTGATGTTTGAGTCAGTGACTCGAGGGGATAAATTTGAGATCTCTACCAAAACAATGTAGGGAGGAGTGGACTGTTCAAGACACTGAATACCCCACCAGAAATAGTAGCGTAAGTGATCAACTCTTTTGTCTTCCTAGAACAACAACAGTAGTATGGAATTTAAAATTGTTCAAATAAAAAAAGTCACTTTTAAATAAAAGAGTGATGTCTACTTAATGTTCAGCATCAATATGTTCTAGACTAAGATGGCATATAATTTATAATGCAGCAAAAAACAATTCATACACTGGAAATTGGTAACAAGAGACAGAAAACACTGGAAATACACAGCAGTTAACACCTATGGAGAGAACAGTCAATTTTTCAGGCACGTAGCCCTCACTGGAAGCGTTTTAATAGATTCAGAATAAAGTGGACGGCTGGTCAAAAGAGTAAAATAGGAAAATTGGATAGGTGATGAAGATGATCTTGAGGTTAGACAATGAAAAAAGTTAAGAAATAAAGACTGCATGAATATCCAAAGGAATGAGAGGTAAGAGACAAGATAGATAATTGCAGGTCAAATGAAAATCAAGAGAAGCTGGCAAAATAAGTGGTAAGAAAGAGGTTTGACAGTTGGAACACTTCACAAAACCAGAGCTGTATCACCTACAAATCTGACAAAGGGTCTCCACTCTAAATATAAACATACACGTTTAATATTACTCGTGGGATATTTAATGAAAAAGATGAGATTGCAAGCCAGAAAAAAAACGCTGTAATAGTTTAAAAACCTATTGGAATGAGAATGGTAAAAAAATACCATGTCTTGAAAAAGATTGGGAACCTTCAAAATTATAATAGGAAATAAAAGAAATTCCAAAGATGGAAGGAACTGGTTCTGGAATTGGATTTGATTTCCTGGCTTTAGGCATGATCATTTCCAACCAAGGACAAGGAAGGTATCAATGGATATTGGCTTTTTAATAAATTTCGAGTGCCACAACTGAGTGAGCACATGGACACCTTAGCACTTGTCTCCAACTTTCTGCAAACATCAGATGTGTGCTGCTCATTTCTTAATTCATTCACAGGATATGGGAGTCACTGGTTGGGCCAGCATTTATTGTCCATCTCAAGCTACACATGAGAAAGTGGCAGTGAGCTACCTTCTTGAAAGAGTGCAGTCCATTCGCTATACACGAACCCACAATGTGGTGGGAGGTGGGGAGGAATTCCAGGATTCTGACCCTGTGGTACCGAAGGAATGGTGATAAAATTCCAAGTCTGAATAGTAAGCAGCTTGGAGGGGAACTTGTAGTTGGTGGTGTTCTCATGAATCTGCTGCCCTTGGCCTTCAGTATCATTGTGTTTGTGGCTTTAGAAGGTGATATCTGAACTTGCTTGGTGAATATTTGCACTGCATCTTGTAGGGAACACACTGCTACTACAGATCATCACTGGTGATAGTGGCATTAAATGTTTGTGGATTTGGTGCCAATCAAATAGGCTGCTTTGACCTGGATGGTATCAAGCTTCTTGAGCTTTGTTGGAGCTGCACTCATCTGCACAAGTGGGAAGTATTCCATCACACTTATAATTTGTACTTTGTAGATGGTGGAGGGGCCTTGGGGAGTGAGGAGCTGAGTTACTCATTGCAAAATTCCCAGCTTTTGAACTTCTTTTGTAGCCACAGTAATAATATGGTTAGTCCAGTTCAGTTTCTGGTCAATTACAAACTCTAATATGTTAATAGTGGGTTATTTACTGATGGTGAATTCACTGAATGTTCAAGGGTGATGGCAAGATTCTTTTTTGTTGGAGATAGTCATTGCCTGGCACTTGTGTGGATTAATATTTGCCTACTTTGTTCCCATATCACATTCTTTACTATTAATTAGTCACAGCACAAATGGTATCAAAAATTAAAAGTTTTCTCAATATGATTTTAGTATTGAACTTTATCAAAAAAGGAAAACTCAAATGGGACAAGAGAAGATATAATTTGTATAGATGGGAGTGTGTTTCTCTTGGTTAAAATCAACACCTACAGTTGACAGAATGCTATCTTCTACTATAGACTTGTAAATGGAGATGTTAAGAATAAGCATAACCTTCAGATAAAGTAAAATAGAAGGATATAGGATAAATTAACCAGACATGTGAAATAAGTAGTCTGGAGGCCTGAAGAAATAGTCAGTGTGGGGTTAAATTCAGGAGGATGGGAGAAAAAGGTGAAAGAGCTGATAAAAGGGACAATTCAGACAGTGACTTGATCGATTTATCACAAAACCTTCTGGGTTTATTCCTATTATAAAGGGCTATAAGAAGTAAATATTGCCAGAAAGAAGTATTTTATACTATGTATATAAACATTTATCATGAATCTCTTGTGACTTTGTTCATTGTTAGCTGGAGTACTTGTTAAGCATGTTCTAGTTGCTATGACATACTGAGAAAGGTTACTGTAAGATTACAGGATTTTTTTAGCATTATGACTTCTTTTTAAGTAATAGCAGTACCAATAATGAATAGAACAATTTTACTGTCACAACATTTTCAGTTAAACTCAATGGACGAGATGTATTACACATAACACAAGAATTTCGATTTACCAAGTATCACAATTTTGATAAAATCAACAGAAATGAAAGATTTTATTCAAACTCTTCACACCTAACTAAAC